TATTATCTAAGCTGAGGTGTTTTTAAACGAAAATATATTTTCTAGTTTTGCCAACTACTTAAAAATTAAATAGCTTCGATTTCATTGAACTTCAACTATCGATGTTGGCAAGCATACAATAAAAACAGTTACCTGAAGGAAAAATTATACGAACGTACTTTTTTTTTAAATTCAATAAGCAAAAAATAAATAGAATTTTAAAGAAACAATTTTATTTTGCGAAAATGTAAATATTAGATATTTTGAAACTTTCGTATGGGACGTATAGTAAATTTTTCATAGGGAAATTGCAGTTTCCTTAAAGGGAAAATAATTTAAATATATAAGAAAAAAAGATAACTAAGTTTTAATTGCACAAGGAGCATGAAAAAATAATTTTGAACTTAAAATTAACAAATTTTATTAATAAAAATAATTATAATATAAAATAATTGAAAAGGAAATGAAATTAAAATTGAAAGATAAAAATTTTTGAAAAGGAATGAAAATAATATTTTAATTTTTTTTATATAAAACACATAAAACAAGGTGAAAAAAATTGTGAGTACTGCATAAAAATTTAAAAGTATGAACCAAAAAATAATGAAAAACACGAAATATTATTTATAATAATATAAAAAATAAAAAAAAATCCACTTAAATCGCTAAAACACTAGACAGAGAATCGCTAACCCACAAGCAATTTTTTTCCAAATATACAATACACGATACCTTTATATAAGCTAAACTAATATTTACAATTTGCATAAAGAGTTTTTCCGTAACAAATTTACATCAATATTTATGTGTGAGCACATGTCAGCGCGCCGTTTGTTGACCGTTGTGTATAGCTGTATGTGTGTATGTTTTGAAAAGGTGTTGATATACGCTAACAAAGACAGGCTGTTACGCATATCAGTGTGTTTGAGTATGTTATTATTTCTCAAACCGTTTATTACAACCCGGACAGTCAGCCAAGCAGCCATTATCAACAATATTATGCTTTATATTATGCCACAGAAGTATCAGCGGTGAAAGACAGAGAGAAAACAGAAAAATTTGTTTAACCTTTTTTGCAGGTAAGCCTTGAATTAAATATTTTTTGGATATTTATATTTATATAAACATGTTTTTGTTTTCTTTTTAATATATATATATTTTTTGTAATATCTTCTTCTTCTGATAAACTTAGCACAACGTTTCGTTTTTTCTTTTCCTTTTATATTTTTATCGGCACGACAGGTGAAAAGGCCCTGGCGTGTCTCATAAATTTGATTAGCTGTGGCGACCCAATGCTTGGTTGCGCAATCAGTAGGCGGCATAACAAAGTATATTTCGTTGTATTTTTTTTATATGCTTTCATGCGTTGTTTTCGTAGACATGTGCAAATAGATGAATATATATACTTTTAAGGATGTTTGTGTTCTTTTTTGAATATGCCTCTCGTGCGTTACAGACATGCAAAGATGCGTTGATAGGCAGACAAATTTATGTGATGCCTTTTTGTGAATAAAATCTGATGAAAAAGTAGATAATAATGTTTGCTCTGGGCTACCATATTGGCTATTATAATAATTTATAAAACAATTATATTTTTTGAAGTTTTTTGATAGCATTTTTTTGAAGTTTACGTGGTTTTTCATTTGTGGGAGAAAGGGAAACCTTCAAAGTTGTCACTTAAAATGCGTTAAGTATTTTCTCAACCGTTAGATAGCATTCTTCGCAGGTATAATATGGCCACCAAAATTTCACACTTATATTGTCACGTCCTTTTTGAAATTCAATGGGGTTTAGCGCCTTCTGTACTTTACGCGAACGTTCCCTTTCCCCATATTTTCTTGGCCTCAGTCAGAGCAAACGTCAAGTCTCTTTTCGAAATTCTCTTCTTTACACTCACACCACTGCACACTCCCTCACTCTCTTGTTTGTTTATACAATTGTTTGTCCACCAATTTGCCTGTCGTGCTCGCTACCGTCGCAGCAACAATTGTTGATTGTCATGCCAGTTGTCGCTTTCCTTTGGCACCGAATTCTCCAAACCTCACTTACCTCTCCCTTTTCTCATTTGCTCGCATGTGTGCCTCTATTATTGCCACGGCGTATGCACATGTACTTGCTTATTGTCCTTGTTGTGTGTCTATCTGTCTGTCTGTCTTTCTGTCTGCCTGTCTGTACATTTAAATGTTAATGTAATTGTATTTAATTTATTTATACCTCTGCCTTTTGCCATTACATATGTTATCATTGTTATGCATGCTCGCTTGCACGCACTGATACATATGTAAATACATATACATATATATGTTTATGTGAATGTATAAGTGTTACAACGTACATGTGTAGTTTATTATGCACACGCATTTATTTGTATGTCCTACAACAGATTTTATTGTTTACTCTCACTTGTATGTGTTCATTAGTACGTTTGTTATTGTTTTAGCAATGATTTTTGTTTTTTCCATGTTTTTTTTTTGTTACTGTCTATTTTTTTCTGCGCTTGTAATACAAATGTTTAGTTAGTGTCAGTGACTAAATGGCTCTGATTCGGGAAATTAACACATGCGAAGATTTTTTTTTGAAATATCATTTCTTTGGTATTGTTTGTGTTCATTACACTTTTTTTGTTTAAGTATATGTAGAATAAATTGTCGAACTTGAATTTATAATTTTATTTTTAATGATTAAAGTAATTTTTCATATTTACTTAATTTTTTTTTACTTATTTTTTTAAGTGAACTCCAGTAGCGTTTATTCACAGGCTCTAAGGATAACTGGTAACTTTAGACCAAAAGTTCATTTTACGAACGGTGAATTATGCTACCAACTAAGCAGATGTCTCCTTTCTTCTCTCACTGCTTCTGTGTGTAGAATGAATAGCTCGTCAGTAATGAATATCATTCAGTGTGGACATTAAAATTATTGAATTAATAGATAATCGAGTGGTTTGCATTGCATACTGACATTCGAAAGGATCAGATTCAAATCCCGGTGCTACCAACATCCAACATTTATAGAAAATTTATTTAAATAAATAATTAATTCAAATTTTCCAACTGCGGTTATCCCTCAGCAGGAAATGTCCACCTTTTTGAGTGCATTTCTGACATGTAATAAAGGCTCCTCATAAGAAACCAACAGCCGTTCGGAGGCGGCTTAGTGTAAACTGCAGGTCCCTTCATTTATTGGAAAAACATCAAGACGCAAACCACATTCGAATGGAGAACATTTTTTTTAAAGAAACAAGTCCCAACTGAACTTCAAATGAATGGATATCTGGTCATATTACTGTAAGACAGAGAATTTAACTAAAATCGCAAAACTCATACTTTTTTCTGGTCTTACACGAAACTCGATCTCGACCTTAATTAGACAGAAGTATATACAAAGCTGTTAGTATAAGAAGGGAGATTTAACCCAGAGTCTCTTCGGCAATGTTTTAATAAGAATACTAAAAGCTTTAATAGGGAAAATGATAACAAAGTAATTTGCTTAATAATGGAGAAACAATTGCTTTGAAAAAATTATGACGATATCCGTTGCCTTTTATAGAAGTCTCTTAGTTGCTAACCAAATATTGTGGCTCTTAAGTGCAAGAGAAAGCACCATTTTAGGTACAAGAGCTTTTTTGGTTGGTTTCTGCTATAAAATGCTTAATTAACACGCACATCCTTTATCCTCTTTCGTAATCATGCCATTGGCATTACCCTTTATTTCGAGCTCAGTAAAGTCGAAACAAAACCTATATAAATGAACTGCTATTTAATATTGTATTAAGCTGATTTAAAATTTGGTTTATTGGAAAATCGTATAATGTCGACTCGTTAAAAATACCATGCTAAAAATAAAAGAATGCGCTGCCAGCAATGTCGTTTCTTGTCTTTTTCTTTGGGTTTTCTACATACTTAACGGGTTACATAGGTCTTGTAGGCCAAAAACAAGCTTATTTTCCTTAAATAATTTAAAAGATACTAAACAAAGTAAACAATTTATTTGGTTTACATATAAAAATACAATATGTGGAAAACGTTTGATGAAATGTGAATGAAAAATAGTATAAGCTAAGGCCTTGGCAGTACCGTGAAGTAGACCGTCTACAAGAAAGTGCTTTTGCGGTAGTCATGATAACTTTTTCAATTTTTATCTGAATCAAAAACCCAAATTTTTTCTTAAATTAGGTGAATTTTCCTTGTCACTGAATGGTGAAAAATTAAATAAACTAAAAATTGAATTTTTTGCAGCGTTTTTTACAAAAAACGTAGTTTTTTGCATAAAATTGGGTCACATATTGGCTAATAAAATGAGTTGAAATCAAAGATAAAATAAATCCTTCGTTCAAGGACTACAAAAACTGGCTTAAAAGAAGAAAGGAAAAACTGAACACTATCGCTTTAAAAGTCGCTGGGAAGTTTTGAATACCGATTTCGATAAAGTGGTTTCAAGAAAAGGGCGTTTGGTCAAGCCATGACAAAGACGGCGAGTTATAAAACTATCTAATTCCTGCAGTTTTGTCTCGCTCGACTTGAAACTTGTGGAAAATATTCCTGACACTTTGTACCTTTGTACAAGAAAAAATAATAAAAAAGAGTTTCAAGACCTATGTAATCCCTTAATGCTAAGTCTATCCATACACGATAAACGCAGAGAGAGTAAAAAAGTTAGGCACATTGTTCGCCTTCCAATTCATTTATGCATTAATTTGTAAGCCATTACTTTTCGCTTAATAATTTAGGTCCTTTTTTGATCTTCTCCCATCCGGTCAACTTCGATTTAGACAGAAGGAAGACATGAATATATTGGAATTTAGAATTGTCGAAGAAAACTTTAAGGCAACTGAGCTTTCCATTACAATGAAATAACATAGATTTCAAAACAAAAAAAAGTAAATAAAAAAATTAAAAAATTGTTTACAAAGCAAATTTTTACTGCAGAACACAAATATGTCTAATTATTATTACGAAATTTAAGAATTTTCCTGAAAATTAAGATAAATATAATATGTAGAATTTGTTGCTATTACAGACCTTTTCAAATTATTGATGAGTATCACAATGAATGAAATAGTAAATCGTCAACCTAAAAAAGAAAAATTATATATTTTAATATATATATATATACATAAATATTTTTTTTTATTAATATTATAATGTATAGAAAATATGTCTGAAAATATGAAGAACAAAAAAGGGTACGCAATATTCATCATTAGGTGGTGTTGACACAACTAATACGATCAAGCAATAAATTTTAGAAGATAGTTATAGTAGAAGAACTAACTTTTGATTGAAAATTTGTAAAATTATGAAAAAGTTCGTAATGTGATGATTATTCACTGAAAAAATGTAAAAGCGCTATAAGTCGTGCGCAAGAAAATTAAATACCACAAACATAATTGAAGTATTTCATGGTTCAAAGCCCAAAATTACAGCAAACAAGGGGTGCTGAGTACATGTGGTGGGTTCGGAAGTCAATTATCCATTTGAAGCTTTTACAATGTAACAAATCAACTAACAATCAACTATCAACAACAAGCCAGTTTACAAAAGTTCCTAAAAAGTGCTTCCAGAAATTTTGCAAAGAAAAAGTGTAACTCTTTAGTACCAAAAAAAATTAACTAAGATTGGTTGGACAGTTTCGATGAACCTATACCAGCCCGCGTCACTGAATACTAATTGTTTTGGTCAGTGCAGAGCTCCTCCGATAGACCGCTAAAAATCATTTGGCCAAATTTTTCTAAGGCAAATAATTGAAGTCCAACTTCCAAAGTTCATTGATTTGTGAAGCTTTCCAAAAAAAAGTGGTAATAGGTAAGGGATGATTATGGTCTAGTGTAGTTAATTAAGACTGTGGTCTCCTCTAGAATCCGAGAAAAGCGTTGTTCAAGCATTTTTTTTAAAGGGAAGAAAGTTTTTGTGATAAACGAAATTATCAGAAAGCAATGTACTATACTCAAGTTTCAAAAAACCATTTTTAGTATCACACGCCACATTTTTTCGAAATATTAAAAAAAAATTTAAGAAAAAGATAATTATTTTCAAGTTGCAAAAAAAGTTTAAATAATGCTTTTGACAATTTATTTTAGTTCAAACAGTTTTCAAACAGAAAATAATTTATCATTTTTTCTATTACCGTCACCATTGTGTTGTACTTCGAACCTGTTCGATTCTCGGCCACTAAAATTGCTCTAGCTTGTAAAACATTACAACTGCAAAATTTTGTTCAAAGTGTATAAAACTGAAATTAATTATTAGTTTATTTTTTAAAATTCATTGAAAAATTAATAAGATTTAATTCAGTCAGATATATTTTATTCTTTGTCGAAATTAAAAACAAATATTAAAATATATAAAAAGAACACATAAAGGGGTTACATACGTCCAGAATTTTCAAAAAATCGATTTTTTTTTATAGGTTATTATTCTTTATAGTTTTAGGTGTATTTCTGTGAAAGTCGATTGTAAAAATTCCCCATAGATACAAAGTTATGGTAGAAAATCAGACCGCCCGACGAGAGTTTAATGCACACAGGTAGCTGTAACACACACATGACACATGAAAGTTTAAACGCGTTTTTTTCGAAACTACTTTTCCCGGCGCGGTCTGCATGATAACTCATACAGTTTTTAACATTTTTTGATGCGATTTTTTTTTAAATATTCGAAAATGTTTTCTCTATAGTCTGTCGAGCCGTATTTTCGATATTTTTATTAAAAAATTTCATGAACATAATTAAAGTGTGACATTTATGACGTAAAACGCATACTTTTTTTCTAAATTCCGTAAATTGGAAAATTTTTCGAAATTAAAAAATTCGGCTCGACAGACTATAACTACAACTTCATTTTACAAGAATTTTTTTTATTTTTACAGATCCATCAACATTCCAAGGATAAATGATGCAGACCGTGGAGCAACTAAAATACATTTTTTTATAAACTTTAAGTACCAATAAACATTGTATAAAATTTCTTTATATATATTTCTATTGTTATCCCTTCTGAAAACAGTTTTTGTTTTAGCGCATTTTTGGTGCTGCTGGACGTATGTAACCCCTTAAAAAATTGAACTTTTAATATAAAACTTGAGGTAAATTGGTGTTAAAAGTAGGTTAAATTGGTAAAAAGTAAGAATTTGTATGTATTTTTCAAACAAAATTAAAAATGAAAACTCATATCTTTTCCTGCAAAACTGTGAGCACTTACAACACATAAATGACTAAATCAACAATTCCACTCAAATACAAGACATTCACTACGGCAACGCTCTAATGAGCGCAGAAATTCTTCAAATTACAAAGTCTTTGTTGCAGATCAAATACCAAATGCGGCAGCAACGAAGAAACAATAAAACTCACACTGAAGTGTACCAAACAATACACAAAATAAGAAAAATAGAAAAATAACATAAATAAAAGTTAATAAAGTCAAAAATGCATACAAAACACACACACACACACACACTCTGCGAAGGCACCCAAAAGCAAAGAAGTTAAACTCAACACAAGACGAAAAAATCCAACAAAAAATGTGCAACAACACTACATGCACAAATGTGCCTCAAAAACTCCCGACAATGCCTATGTTGGCAGCAAACTTATGCAATAAGCTGCAGATAGGTAGTTAGTATGTGCAATGAGATTGTAACAAAAGAAAAACATTTACAACAACAAACACACGCAAATGACTGCCTTTAAGTGAGCTTACAACTGTTTATTTACCATTCGCTTGTTGGCGTGCGCAAAAAAAAAGAAGAAAATGCAATAAAAATTCATACTGAAACATACGTGTATATGTGTGTATATTTGTATGTTGGTGTGTGAAGAAAAAGCCAGCTTGAAATATAAATGCAAGCAGTAGGCCGTCGCAAAAAACTGGTGACGAACAAAGGTGGACTACATATTTCTCAAAGTAAATAAAATGCAATTACCTGAGAGATCACATTGCCAGCGCGATTGCCAATATTGCCATATGGTATTGAAATGCAAAATGAAAAATGGAAAAATGAAAAATATTTTATTGGCAATAGCCTAGTGACTGGCTTATGCTTGGCGTATTTCGTAGTGAAAGGAGGGCAACTTAGTGGGTTGTTGGCGATGCAAAGACTAGGTATTTGTTGTAATGTGGCACCTGGAAGTGAATATGAGTGGAGTGGTTGTAAAAGAGGTAAAATTAATGAAATTTGGAAATTAATAGCAACAAAAGAGTTTTTAGCATTTTTTTCGTTCTATTTTTATTTCAATTTTAATTAATTTTTATTTTTATTTTTTTTAGATTTATATGTTTTAATATATTCTAAGAAATTATTTAATTTTCAGTAGCTTATCGCTTTACCATTATTTCTGACTCTTTCTCAAGTTCAGCCAATGCATATAAAATACATCTATGTAAAATCATTTTCTTTTAACCACAAAATTAAACGGTTGGCCAACTTAAGATTGCGCGCTTTCTGATGCATCATTCCGGCTGGTTAGTGGTTTTACCGCTTGCAAACATAAATATTTTACTGTTATTGGCTTGAAAATGTCCAAACTGTTAGTGGTAGTATTTAAAAGTGTGTAAAAAGTGCTGTAAAATATGAAATATACACAAAAATGCAATTGGACTCAACTATTCAATAAGAAATTTTACGGTGAAGCGAGGTCATAAATAAAATTATGACCAGGACGTAAAAATCAGTGCAAATTTATATCTTCTCCCCCAGTTAAGAGAACGAGTTTTCGTAAGATATAAGATAAAAATTTCACTCTACAAAAATATTATGTGCAAAAAGCATAAAAATGTTTAAGCGAAAATGATATTAATTTAAATCAAATAATAGGCGATTAAAGTACATTTTTCAAGAAGGTAATTAATTGGAAAATATCAAATGATACCAGGGATTACTAAAGAGATAACTGTTAAAAAATTAAAAAAAAAATTTTTAAAGAATTTAAAAAAAAAATTCAAAAATTATTACAGGCATAATAAAGAAAGATATAACAAAAATGTTAAAAATTAAATAAAAATGATTTATAAAAAAATATATATAAAATTAACAAATAAATGGTGTAGTAAATATTGAATAAAAGTATAAGAAAATAATTGGCAATAAATAATTTGATAAATAACATATAAATATTTAATAAATAGATTAATTAATAGATAATAAAAATTATTAATTAATTAATAAAAATAGCAATTAAATTTATGTTAATATGTATACAAAGAAAAGACACTCTGTCTTAAAAATTGAAACTAAATACTATATAGAAAACATAAAATAAAATATTTAAATAAATATTAAATACACAGATCAAAGAGTTTAATTATAAAAAATACATTAATAAGAATCAAAAAGATATAAAGAAACATAAATCAAAATAAAAATAATAATTATAAATAAAGGTTATGGTCTTATATTTATTATTACTATATTAATTGATAATTCATATATAAATAATTAAAAATAATAATTTAATAGATAATAAATAAACAAATAAATTAGTGAATAATTAATATAAAATTGATTAAAAACAAAATAAATATTTTGATAAATAACAAAAAAGTAATAAGAATAAAATAAAAATAAATAATAAATAATTAAATAAATAAATGAATTATAAAAATACTAACAAAAAAATAATGAGAAATCAAGAGTAAATAATAAGTAAAAAATTTTAAACAAACAAAAAATTAATAACGAAAAATATAAAAATGGATAAATAAATCTAAATAATTAAAAAAAAATTAAATATAGTAAATGAAATATGATAAGTCCGACTACATAATTAATTTCTTACTTGTTACCATCGACTAAGATTGTGAAAATATTAAATAACTCCATTATCGCCATTCCCAATTCAATTTGAAAAAACGGTTACAAGTTCTCAGCAATAGCGATACAATCAAAACTTTCATTTTTTGAGTTTGATTTATCATATTGTATAAGTAAATGAAATAAACATTGTTTAGTAAATATGAGAGCCGGAGAAGCTAGTCGACAGTGATAATAATGAGAAATTAGACGAAGAAATGTAACGATTTATAAATGGTTTCCAGTTCGGAGCCCTTCCTTCCAGGAACTAGTATGAAATTGAA